CCCCGAGGCGTCGTGCGTGGCCCGCCGGCCAGCCGGCGGACTATGAAAGCAGCCATAGGGTTTTTCGGAGTGCTCATAGTATGTATACAAAATCAAGTTCATTTTGATAATAATACGGTAGATATCAAGTACTGACCTAACTCCAAATGATCCAACCTGCCTTCTGTAATGATCCATTCAAATAACAAAGAATTTCAGCCCTCTGTGCTGTATCACGGCCATGGCATGCTCTGATCATCGGTGGTGTCTCGGCAGGATTTTCAATTTCCGTGTTACCGCTTCTGGAACGACTCAAGGTAGACGATCCTGTTGGCATCGTACCAATTCATCTCACCTCCTCCATTTGGGGTATGACGGCCGTTGGTATATTCTGTGAAAGAGATCGACATCTGGTGGGTTGAATCGCTCCGATAACGTTTTTTTCAAACATCACAAGTTTGGGATTATTCAGTACCGTATTCTGTAGGGTGTATACGGGAAATCCCCGTGCGGTTTGTACATTGTAAACTACAAATCACGACTACATTCTAGCAGCCACTTCTAAAAAATAAAATACATGCGAATGTGTAAACACGAAAATAAGGATGGGAACCCAGATTTTACATGATCTTTTCGTAAAATAGAATGCAATAGACGTGGCACTTTACGGGCAAGTTGTCTCACTCTACGACATACATCCTCACCACATATTCGGTGCATCAGTAATGAAGTAGCTCGTGTGGAAGTCTACGAGGTGGGAGCGTGGCTTACTAACTTCGCTACGTTACTTCATAACAACCTGTTTGAGTCTACCCCATAGCTGGGTCAGTAAAAAGTCAGAGACTTCATTCTGGATGGGTTAATGACCTTCTATCTTTTCGATTTCAGTTCGGAGCCACAAACGGGCATGCAGGACTACTTTATTCGGGCAGTTTTACATTACTCGGTGTACAGCTCCTTTGTACGGTAACCATTCTAGTCTACAGTGCCGCCTTTGGACTTCTTGCTCTCGTGGTGAGTCCTACAGTAATTTAATCTGTTAAAACCAACACAGAATGTGCGTATTGACCGATTACGTTTCAGTTGATTAGCAAGAGTCCACTCGGATTACGTGTTACTGATTACGAAGAACAGATCGGAGCTGACGTTATCGAACATGGGTTGGCTGGAACGAACGTGGCTAGATATGTGCTTGAAAAACCCCTCAGCACAAGGTGAGTTCCGGAAATTGTTGCTGGGCGGAGACAGGAACTAAAATGATCCCTTTCTTCCTCGTCCCTGAAACCTACAAGAACATCTTACCCCTCCATGCCCGGAATCTTTCCATTGGGTTCACCATGATTAAGGAATGAGAGAGGTGGAGAACAGTCGAAGGCGTAACCTTCGTCTTGCCATTATTGGTTAGGATTTGACTAGAAGAAGCCTAGACACACCCCTTTTATTAGTACTTTCGCTCTTTTTAAAATCTAACTTGAGAAGTTTCTTCCCATGTGCTCTGTGCATTTTCCTAGGGACGCATAGGTCGGATCTGCTTCTACTCCTTGATGAAATTATTTCTAGGACCTTCCAAACTGTAACGAAAGCGATCACCAAATGGAAAATGCTTGCCAAAACGAAGAGCCGATCGAAACGTATGGAACAAGCGAGACAGAGACGGCTTACAGAGGAGCAAGCATTTACTGCCACCGACGGCACTACAACGGTCAAAGGAGCTAACGGAGGTACTCCCCGGGCTTTTTCATCCATTCGTGAACGAAAATGTCCAAGTCCGGTCCTAATAGCCTGATTATATCTTGCTTGAAGTGTTGCTCAAGTTTTAGAATAGAAGGGAGACAGATAAGAGAAAGTTAGAACACTGTGGTTTTACACTCTCCCTTTTTTTGTTAGAGGCTGGAATGAGCATGGTGGGAAAGTTCGATGTCCAATATGAAATCAATGCTCAAATCAGCTGAGATGCATCAGGAAAACTCTTACAGAAGCAAAGTCAAGGGTGGACCTGCAAGAACTTTTTTGAACCTTTGAATTGTTATTTTAGTTCCGCTGACAGGAAATGGAGCCGTGCACCGTCGCCGAGCGTTTAGCAATGTCCCGGACGGGGCGGCTGGAAACAGTCCTCGAGCGAACGGCGGTATTCGACAGAATCGACTTAACATCGATGTCGAAGCTCAGGCACATACACCACAGTCGAAAGGGCCCTCTTTGAAGTAAGTCGATCCGGCGCTTCTACTTTCACGTAGCCATAATTTTGGTCACTTCCAGGTCAGCAAGTCCTCGACGGGCCAGCTCTCCAGCACCAGGGCGACCGGCATCATCAGGCAAAAGTACGAGCCTGAATTCACCACGACGGACAGAATCGCTAGATGGCGAAGGGGTTGATTCCCAGATGTCCCAGCCATCCACAAGTAATACGGGTTCCGAAACGCGACCCGTCGAACGACCTATAACCGCCAGTCATATCGGCATGACCGTTGGTCCATCAAGGTAGGTTACCCTTCGTTTTACCAAACCTTTCCGGGATGTCATCGGGTTTACATCCTACTGTTGTAGGCATAACCCTGTTGGGAAATTTGTTCGATCGCCACCAGCTCGTGCTCTGACACCACCCGATGACATCAGTATGGACAGTGAGCATGAACCTTCGATATCGACCGGGTCATTGGGTAGAAACAACAAAGTTGCTCCTCAATAGGGACGGAACAAGCCCTTCATGAAGCAGGGTCGACAATGACTAGTATGTTGTGATGTGCACATTAAGTAGCACGGGTTTCTTAAATGTGATCAGTGCCTTTCAACAGAATTTCCAAGTTCGTTTGGCGAACTTACATGTAACTATAAGTCTAGATAGGTTGTTGATGTTGTCAATAGACGGGATCATTTTGTTTTTTGTAAGTCTGTCACTGTCTCATGATGATGACGCTAATTCAACAATTCACTATGTTTATTTGGCAGGTTTTCCTTTATTTGAATAAAGCTTATTCAGGCCTCGCATTCTACCAACCGATTTCTTATGATACGGAAAGCCGAAAAGTACTTTAAAATACAAATGAAACTGATAAAAACAATACGAAAAAGTAGTAGGGAGAACGGGCTCTGAGGTCTTAACCGCACTCGTTCATCCGAGCCTATCCTTCCCCTAGCCTATTCTAACCCCAACTCCAAATTTCCCGATATACAGCCTAATTCGTTGTTTTATAAGCATCAAGTAAAGCAGAGGTGGGTGTATTGGCAGGTGGCGCACTATCATACACCGGTCTTGGATCGGTATCTGTCTATTTCAATCAGCGCTTGTTTTCCCTCCGGAGACAGTTAACTGCTATCAAACCCTTTTGGGAGGAAAAAGTCTCGAAAATCTACTGACCACCTTGAATCATTGTATAAGCCACATAGGCGTTCAGTAAGCCAATACTATTTTGAATGGAAAACGAACGCGGGACGCGATCCGGGGCGGCGAGTTTTCTGAAGCCAAAGTGCTTCTTCTAACTTTCATAAAGCCTGAATAGAAATTGAGTTACGGGGTTAGCTATGGTGTACGAGTTGCTGCTTTCACATTACTCAGAAGGACTATTATTAGCCACTGTGTAAACATTCTGAAGGGTAGTTATGGCGACAGGAAAAATATAAGGACAGTGGTCCTCTGGCGAAAGAAACGTACTCTTGTTGACCATTTAGGAGTCCATTCCTCCCAACGAGTTCCCACTTATCTCTGTCTCACAATCGCTCTTATTTTCAGAGGTGATGCATTTTTGCATAGGTTTTTTTGTTTTTTCACTAGTTACCCATTGTTGAGATGCTTCCGAGTAAAAAATGGCGTTGCCGGAGGATTTTTTGCATAGAAGTCTTTGAAGACTATTCTAATTTCTTGAAAAACTGATTTTCTGGGGTCGGCAGTACTTTCCAGCTAATCCGTTCGGCAAACTGGCCCCAGAGGTCATCTTGGTGGTTGCACTTTTTCTTCATAGTTCACTGTCTACTGATTATTTCGAGCTGACTTATCGACGACAGCTGATGTCCAGACTTGAGACAGTGACTGGACGTCATTGATCGGAGATGAACTTCACGTACATTGTGTGCTGATCACGCGAAAACTCGTTTTCGTGATCAAAGTAGCATTTTTCATTGGTGATGATGTGTGTTGCCCGGTTACTTTCTTCTTTCAGAGTGCCCCTGTCCTTATCTTTTTCCCACCGCCATCAATATCCTCTCAATGCTAATAGATTTTTCATGATTAATTCGGCCACTGACCGTCTTTTCCGCTGATTGACTTTGCCAATTTCCTACTACGACTATTAAGTACTCACGATGTGCTTCAGAACTTCTGTGAACAAATTATTTCAAGAGTTTCGCAGATTTTATTATTTTTTTATTTTTATTCCTAGACAATCGTAGAGATTTCGTCAAATTTGAAACCGAATTTCATCTGTCAGTGCTTTGAAATTTTATGCAAATCTTAACATACTTCTTAATGGATGACGGCAGGGAGAGGGGAAGACGAGCAACGAGACAACTATCTTAGATTTGGTGAGACAACTAGCCAAAAATTGTCGCATGGGGGACTGCTGCGTCATAATCATGGCCATATTATGAAATTGTGGTGAAAAAAGCTGCTTAAATGCGCTCAGGAATACGCCATGCTTTTGGCGACTAGTCGTAGTCGTAGAGTTATTTGACTGTGTTCTAAAATTTTCTAAAAGAAAAATAGATGGATTGTGTACTATTTTGTGTGTTCGAAAATCTTAAAACAACCATTGTACAGCACTATTTTTCAGTAATATGATTCGAAACCAGTCTGCAGCCCAGGTTTTCAGTTATATGACTCCCCTAGAAATGGGAGTTATACTGAAATGGGAGAACTGTGACCCGGAACTCTTCAGCCGGACCTCAATGGGGGTAGCAGCGCTGAATATCCCTGTAATGAAGTTCCTCTGACCTGAACGTATTTCTGTGGTAAAGTTCAAGAGGCGATCGATCAATAACGCTGTGAAATGGTGCTCTTGCTGTGAGTTGTTCAAGTGTTGTGCATTGTAAAATTGGCCTAAACCATCAGTTTTTGAGCTTTTTCCCTATCAGTGACTAACTTCTTTCCATTTTATTTCTTAAACATTGATATTCTCATTTTACTTGCTGTACCGCCTTTTCTC